GCACAAACCTTGAAAACACTATGTTAAGTGTAAGATGCTTCTCACCAAAGATCACATGTTGCATAATGTCATATGCATGAAATATCAAGAATAGGCAAATATATAGATGCAAAAAATAGATTAATGGTTGCCAGTGGGGGAAGATATGGGGAGTGGCCCTTAATCAGTATGAGGTTTCTTTTGGGGGTGATGAAAATGTTCTAGAATTAGTTAGTCATTATGGTTGCACAACTTTGTGAATATACTGAGCACCGCACATTGTATACTTAAAGTAAGTGAATTATATGGTATATAAATTATATTTTAATAAAGCTATTACAAAAATCCAAAAACATGCATAGCTCTCTGTTGCTCTTAACATTAAGTCCAAGGCTTTTTGCCTGGAAGGCCAGAGCCTTCACTTCTATGTACATGTCCAATCCCTGGCAGGCACTGTGCCACATCTCCATCCTCCCAAAAGGCTGTGTATGACTACACAACTGTGCTTTGGCTTCTGTTGTTCCCTTTCCTTGGAATGTCTATTTTGCCTTGTTTACTTGATGAACTATTACTTATATTTCAGGAAGCAGCTCAAGCTTCTCCTCTCCCTAGTCTCCATTCCCCAAGGTCAAAAAGAGTTACTCCACAGCACACAACTCTATCATTGCGCTTCTTTGTTGTGGGGCAATTGTCTGTGTTTGCCAATTTGTCTTGTCTTCTTAACAAAATGATGAGTTCATTGTGGGCATCAACCATGTAATATTTACCTCTCTATGCACAGCACCTAGCACAGGGCCTGATACATAGTAGATCCTAGGTACATAGTTGTTGGTAGAATGAATGAATTTAAATAGACCAGTGATGGCGAACCTTTTGAGCTCGGCATGTCAGCATTTTGAAAAACCCTAACTTAACTCTGGTGCCGTGTCACATATAGAAATTTTTTGATATTTGCAACCATAGTAAAACAAAGACTTATATTTTTGATATTTATTTTATATATTTAAATGCCATTTAACAAAGAAAAATCAACCAAAAAAATGAGTTCACGTGTCACCTCTGACACGCATGTCATAGGTTCGCCATCACTGAAATAGACTATCAGTTACTTGTACCATGTTGCACTCCACTTTATTAGAGTGATATCCAATGACCCATGTACTGGCAACAAATTCTGAACATATGGAAGAGTAGGACAGACCTGTTTTGGAAGCACAGAGAGGGCAAGTTTGTCCAGAAAACTGCAATGCAAAAGCCTGGGCAACCAGAAGGCCAACAAAGGTATGTGGTGAGGAGAGAGAATGGAGAGGATATAAGGGTCACCAGGGTTGGGAGAAGTAGATAAACAGAGGAGTAAGTATCAGTGCCCAGGGAGTTAGGCGGGCCTCCTCTTAATCCCAGTTGCCTGAGATCATTGACTTCCTGGGTGGGAGCACCTCAAGAGCTGGAATCATGTCTGATTCCTTTCTAAAGCCCTCTGCCTACCACAGAATAGCTGTTCAATGAATGGAGGATCTTTGGTTGCCTCTCAGGATCATAGCAAGGAAAGGGGCAACCAGGCACAATCAAACCTTCTCTTGGGCTCCCTAGAGCAGTGAGAGCCAGGCATCTGGGAAGAGACCAGTGAGTACTCTTTCAATTTAGAGGAAATGGCAAACTTTTGTGGTTTAAAAGGCAAAGGAAGACCTTAGAATAGCTCTGGAGTCACTGCCTGAGAGATTTGACAACCTGGGAGTTTGGCTCTCTTGACATTGCCTCAGAGACTTCTACTATGCATGTCAGAAGTATCAGACAAATGTCCCTGTCCACCCTTTGTGGTTTCCTAATTCTACAGGGAATCCCACTGTATTCCCTTGTGGTCCAGATCAACAACCTTAAATAACCAGAAAGGCCAGATGGCCTTAGCCCAGTCTAGCAGTTTGTTTGCTTGGATGAAACCTGGACCAAAAGGTGGTTTATACTAAATGAAGTTATAATGGTAGAACTGTTTAGTGTGCTCTAGAAGGAAATATGTCTCAAGTCTGAAACAGGGAAATCTGCCTGAGTTTCAAGCCAGATGACCTGCTGGAATTTGGATTTTGAATTTGCCATCCCCATAAACATGTGAGCCAAATCCTTCTCTCTCTCTCTCTCTTTCTTCTCCTCCTCCTTCTTCTTCTTCTTCTTCTTCTTCTTCTTCTTCTTCTTCTTCTTCTTCTCTCTCTCTCTCTCTCTCTCTCTCTCTCTCTCTCTCTCTCTCTCTCTCTCTCTCTCTCCACTCTGTTCTCCTTGACCCATTAATATACCCAGCAAAAGGAGAAATATTTGGAGAGAAAGTGTGCAATGCGTCTATTTCACAATTCTGTACAGGAGCAACTTTCTCATGAGAAAGACAGCCTCCATCAGTGGCCTGTATGTCATCTTCCAGTTTCTGATTCCACGCAGTTGTTTCCTTGTCTGGCATAGCCTTATTTGACAATATACATGTTTGATTAAATGCACACAGTAAGGAGCCTGTGATAGCGGAATTGCTAGCAACCTCTGTTTTGTTTGGTTTTTCATGTACTTTTTGTCCCCCGTGTCAGATAGAAGCTAATCTGAAGCCTCACCTGCCTGAGTCTGGGTGTAGTTCTGAATAGAAGCCAAGCAGTTCAAACGATAGTGAGGAGGTTTTAGAAGTAGTAATTTATCAGCAAATACATGCCTGAGACTGACTAAATAAATAAATAAAAGCTGGTTTTGCCACTTCTCACTTTGAGCTGCTCTGCCTGAACTTGAGAGCCTTTCCAATTCCAAATTTATCTGCAGCACACTGAAAAGAAGTGAGACAATATGCTCCACAGGACCCATCAGCATCTGCATACAAGGTGGGCAGTAAATATTAACACTTGAGCTATGTTGATAATGAAATAAGGCCTAAGGAAAAAGAGAAGGCTATTCGTGTTTAAAGAGTCTGGGGGAAAATTTCAGGAATGTCTTTTTAATTGAGTATTGACCTCTCTTCTAAAACCTAGGAAGCTCAAGCGTTGCTTAGTTGTTTGCCTTGTTTGATCAAAACACAAATACATTTTGTACAAAATACATAAACTATGATTAATTTAAATTGTTCAATTGTTCTCATCCGTATTCATAGTCACGATCCTCTGCCAGCTCCAGATGTTTCAAGGAGTGGTTAGCTCAAAAGCTCACTTGACATCACTCCATGGCATTCCTTTCACTGATGATTAACAGAGGACACAAGGCCTGCCTCACAGCTTGGCCAGAGACTGCACTGATTAAGTCAAGCTTAAAGAATTAGCTTCCCTCCCTGATTGGGGCCATTGTTCTCCCATACTGTTGAAAATGGAAGAGTCCCAAACTAAAAGCCAGATGATATTAGGCTGAGAATACAGAAATAGAGAAACACATACTGCGCAGTTGATCTGTAAATTGGTACCAGGTCTGAGAGCACTGAATAACAAAATGTGGTGTTTGTCTTTTTCAGAGGATGCATGTTCCCTGGCGTAATCAGACAGTGCACTACCTTTTAAATTTAATGTGCATGCAAATCACCTGGGCATCTCATTAAAATGCAGATTCTGATTTGGTAAGTCTGATAGACCTGAGGTTGTTTATCTTATATAATAAAAGCCTAATATACTAAGTGACCGACCTTTCATTGGACCATTTGACCAGTCGCCATGATGCACACTGATCACCAGGGGGCAGATACTACAACCAGTAGGTTAGCTTGCTGCTGGGTTACAGCCAATCGGGACTGGGCAAGATGGGCCCGACACACCCTGGAGCCCTTCCACAATCCCTCCCATTATCCCTCCCACGGTCCCTCACCTGCCCCGATTGTGCACTTGTGGGGTCCCCTCGGCTTGGACTGTGCCCTCTTGCAATCCAGAACCCCTCAGGGGATGTTGGAGAGCCGGTTTCAGCCCAATTTCCTTCAGGCCAGGCCGAGGGACCCCACCAGTACAGAAATCCATGCACTGGGCCTCTAGTTACTAATAAGCCCCTGCATGATATATAAGCAGTTCATCCTTGCACCACACTTTGAGTACAATGTTATGAAACAAGTGTAGGCCTGCAAATAAACCCCACACGTCTAGTGTTGCCTGAGTCCTGTCAGCCATAAAGAAATAGCCAGGTCCTTCTCTCCTGTAGTTTGCAGTCTAGCAGAAAATGAGCCATGTTTGTACATAATGGGATCAGTCAAAAGAAGGTAAAAATGTAGGGTATGTCAGGAAAAACAGTGGCCATTTCCAACTTGGAGGGGGAACTACGAAAGCTTCAGAGAAGACAAGGCAATATGGGAGTTTGGCAGGAACACAGCAAGGGCTTTTTAGATTTTTAGATTGATGGATCACCAAAAGCAAAGATATGGAGGCTAGAGAGCATGAGGCATGGGCAGGTAATAGTGCACAATTCCATTTGACTAGAATGTAGACTACTCTTCCAAGCAGAAACTAAGACACAAATCAAGTTGTTCAGATAGTTTAGGGAACAGATCACAGAAGATCTTGATGTCATATACAAAAGCATTTAGACTTCATTCTGTATGTGAGGGAGAGAATTTATTTTCTTCATTCAAAGGTGACTTGAATGGAACCAGGCCTCAGATTTTAGGATTAGGTGATCACTCTAGTGCAGTGATGGCGAACCTATGACACGCGTGTCAGAGGTGACACGCGAACTCATTTTTTTGGTTGATTTTTATTTGTTAAATGGCATTTAAATATATAAAATAAATATCAAAAATATAAGTCTTTGTTTTACTATGGTTGCAAATATAAAAAAATTTCTATATGTGACACAGCACCAGAGTTAAGTTAGGGTTTTTCAAAATGCTGACACGCCGAGCTCAAAAGATTCGCCATCACTGGTCTAGTGGTAGTGGAAAGAATAGGTTGAAAAGGGAAGAACCTGGAGGAAAGGGGGACAGTTAGGAGGCTACTGCTTAATCAGCTACCCAGAAAACATTTATTGAGCTCCTGTTTTGTTCCGACCACTGTGCTAATGACTTTAGCATGGAACAAAAATATACATGCCTTGTGCTTGCTTTGGCAGCATATATACTAAAATTGAAACAATATTGGATGATTAGCATGACCCCTGCACAAGGATGACATGAAAATTCATGAAGCATTTCATAGAAAAAAAAAGTAGAAAAACATACATGTTCTATGCCCCTGTGCTCTCATAATCTGAAGAGAGCTACAAAGGAGAAGTCCAGGGAGCTAGAAAACCATAAAACAGGGAGCTAGAAGAGCAGAAAACAGGAAAGTCTGAAGTGTCAGAGGAATTGTCCTGAGTCAGTGGCATTTTGATCCAGATCTGAATAATGAGGAGGATGTAACCAGATAAAGAGGAAAGTAAAACTGTACTCTATACAGTGGGAGGGCCCTAATAAAGGCTCAGCGACTAGAGAGCCTGGCATGTCCTGAGGTTGAGAATAGAGCATGGCTGAAGTTGAGAGACAAAAGGGAAAAAAGACATGACATAAAGCTAGAAAGGTTGGCACGTGTCACATTTGTACTGGGCCTTTTCAAAAGAGTCAAGGTTTTAAAACTTTGCCTTAAGGGCAATGGTGGCCATTAAGCAAAGGAGTGACTTAAAATTTGTGTATCAGAATAACACTTTTCTGTGTTTCTTCTGTGAAGGATGAATGGGAGCAGGGAGCAAGATTCCATTCAAGGAAGCCAATTAGGGTAATATCTGCATAGACCACACAGGAGGTGATAGAGGCTTTGTCTTAGTAGAAAAGAGGGTACAGAGAGGTAGGTGAACAGAAGCGACCATCCAAGGTAAATTCAGCAAGAACTGGAGAAGTGGGGGAAGGACTGTGGAGAAGAGAAGGCAAGAACGATTCCTAACTTCTTAGTTTGGGGACTGGATGGATAGTTGTACCAGCCACTGATGTAAAAAAATATATACAAGAAGTAGATTTGGAATGGAGTGAGTAAGAGAAGTTCGGGTGAAGTTCCTGTTGGATATTAAGGGGAAGATAAATAGGCAGATCTACATGCCATTAGATTTGGGGAGAAAGGTGTGGGCCAGGGAAAGGAATTTAGAAGTAATCAGGATAAAGACCATGCTGAAGCCATGCATTCTCATGGCTAATCCAAAGGATTCTTCCCTGCCTATCAAGCCTCCCAACTTGCCCCAAAATCTGCAATGGATGGGTTGATACAGAAGCCCAGATTCCATCATGACTGAGAAAAAAGAGGGCAGATTTTAGAAGTAAATTGCAAAGAGATTTTGAAAATTTTATAAGTGATGGCATCTTTGAAGTTGGTATGCAGCCTGTCAAGGTGAGAAACAGCTCTCATTTTACATGGGAAGTCTGACAGATCAGTTACAAAGAGAGGGCTCAAGACTTTGCAGATAAATTGTATATCAAACAGCTTCTTAAGAGTCTGGGGTTGCCCTAACCGGTTTGGCTCAGTGGATAGAGCGTCGGCCTGCAGACTGAAAGGTCCCAGGTTCGATTCCGGTCAAGGGCATGTACCTTGGTTGCTGGCACATCCCCAGTGGGGGGTGTGCAGGAGGCAGCTGATCGATGTTTCTAACTCTCTATCCCTCTCCCTTCCTCTCTGTAAAAAAATCAATAAAATATATTTTAAAAAAAAAGACTCTTGGGTTAGGGCTCCCTGCTCATTTACCCAACATGTTGTTGACATATATATGCTCAGTGTGCAAGTTAATCCCAGTATTAGCCTAAGCAAAGTCATAATTAGGAATACCTGCTGTTCCCAGAAAAAAAAATCGATAATATATTCCCAAAACAGATATCCATGACCTTTTCCCCAAAGTTTTAGATTATACACAATTTTGCCTTTTTAATAGCCTACATAATCAAGTTGGCTACAGTTATAAAGTAAAAATATGCATTCTAAATAAAAAATCCAAAGAACTTTGCTTTATACAAATTGTCTGCTTGGATGATATCCCTATCAGCTACCTCCAAATGTACTTTGAAATTACTATAGCAGCAAATTAATATTTTCACAATATTAATTTCACAATGTTGAAGTGGATATTTTAAGGAAATGAAAATAAGTAAATTAAGTCAGCAGTAATATGTCTTCTAAATTTGTAGCAGAATAATGCCTGTGATGGTGGGGAAAGGGGGGAGGGAATGAGCTCTGAACTCAATCTAACGCAAACCTCAGGGTGATATCATGCATTCATATGGGAGAATTTTTTAGTGAAACCAGAACTTGTAAGAATATGTGGTGGTGGTAGATGGATATTGTAACTCTAGAAAGGCAATAAAATTGAGTTATTATCAGCCTCTGGACAGGCAAGCACGTAGAGTCATTCACAGAGTTTTTCTACCTGCCTATTGATGCTAGAAATGTCAAGATCTGTGACTGAAATCTTTCTTGCACAACTCAAACGGAGACTTTGAATAGTACCTTCTGGGAAGATAGTGTACTGAGCCTGGCAGGTAGACACCATGTCTGAGTCTCCATCAAACTGGCTACCACTGTTTGCCCCAGCCTGGTGATTCCCTGAGATGCCATGCCACCAAAACTGTAAATCCATTTAAGCCTTTTCCAGTGGTTTTTCCATACAAATGGCCTGTTTTGGCTCATGCTTCAGCCTTTCCTAAAACCTCTCAATCAAGCAGCATCTGGCCATGGCATGCCCTGGACCACTCATCACATGGCTCCAGGCCTGTAACTAGCAGCAGACCAATTTTGTTTGCAGCTTAGCTTCTGCCTGGGCACCTATAGGCCCAGCACAAGTAACAGTCATCTTCAGATTGCTTTGTAGCCCATTCTGGGTGGCCCTGGGCAGGGCACAAGTGGCAGCAGACCTTGGTCTGAACTTTGCAGGAGGCCCCAGAGCCAGTGCACACAGTGGACAGCTTTGGACCACATCAAAGATCACCCAACTGCATCCACAATTGGCACACCCAAGGAGCAGATTTAGTGAGCACCAGAGCCCCATTGAAAGTAATCCTGCTCCATAGGGTTAGCCCCTGCACAGATGATCCTACACAGTGGTCACAACCAGTCCTCACAGCCCATTGGCCTGGGGCAAATCCCTCCCATTGATGTGCCAGCAGCAATCAAGTCTCTACTACAACAGGAGAGTGAACACAGCCCACATGGGGGTCCCATCTGGAATGACCAGCTCAGGTGATTGGGGAGGCTGTGCCACTGGATCTTATAAGACACCTACTACATAGGGCCACTCTACCAAACCTTGGAGACTTAGCAGCTCTACCTAATACATAGATTTTTAAAAAGCACAGGGAGTAGCCTAAATGAGGAGACATGTCCCAAATGTAAGAACAGGACAAAATTTCAGAAAAAAAAACTAAACAAAATGGAGACAAGAAATCTACTAGATGCAGAATTCAAAACACTGGTTATAGGGATGCTCAATGAACTTAGAGGAAGAGTAGATGAACTTAGTGAGAACTTCAACAAAGAGATAAGAAACATAGAAATGGTGACAGAAAACATAATAAAGATCCAGTCAAAATGATGGAAACATTAACTGAAATGAAGAATACATTATAGCAGCGGTTCTCAACCTGTGGGTCATGACCCCTTTGGCGGTCGAACAACCCTTTCACAGGGGTCGCCTAAGACCATCCTGCATATCAGATATTTACATTACAATTCATAACAGTAGCAACATCACAGTTATGAAGTAGCAACGAAAATAATTTTATGGTTGGGTCACAACATGAGGAACTGTATTTAAAGGGCCAGAAGGTTGAGAACCACTGCATTATAGGAAATGAACAGCAGAGTAGATGAAGCAGAGGATAAAATCAGAGATTTTGAAGATAAAGAAGCAGAAAATACCCAATCAGAATAGCAAAAGGAAAAAAGAATTTTTTAAAAAATGAGGATAGTATGAGCCTCTGGACAACTTCAACCATGACAACATCCACATCATAGGAGTACCAGAGAAAGAAGAGAGAGATACAGCAAGGGATTGAGAACATATTTGAAGAAATAATAACTGGAAACTTCCTTAATCTGGTAAATGGATTAGACATCCAAGTTTAGGAAGTACAGAGAGTCCCAAACAAGATAAAGTCAAGGAGACCCACACCAAGACACATCATAATTAAAATGCCAAAAGTTAAAGACAAAGAGAGAATCTTAAAAGTAGCAAGAGAAATACAATTAGTTACCTACAAGGTAGCTCCCATGAGATTGTCAGCTAATTTCTCAATAAAAACATTTCAAGCCAGAGGGATTGACTCAAAATATTCAAAATGATGAAAAGCAAGGACCTACAACTAAGACTATTCTACCCAGCAAGGCTATCATTTAAAATTTAAGGAAAAATAGCTTTCCAGGCAATAGGGTTGTGAATGCCTGGGGCAGGGGGAGGCATCAGGCTAGAAGAGGTCAATTGGGGAAAATGAGGGCCATATGTAATAATTCTCAGCAGTAAATATTTTTAAAAAATACTACACACACACACACACACACACATACACACACACACACAGTATGATACTGGCATAAAGGCTGGTATATAGATCAATCGAACAGAACAGACAACCCAGAAATAGACCCACACATATACAGTCAATTTATCTTCAACAAAGGTAAAAATAATATACAACAGAAAAATGATACTCTCTTTAATAAATAGTGCTGGGAAAACTAAATATCCATATGCAAAAGAATGAAATTAGGCCTTATCTTACATACCAAACAACAATCAACTAAAAAATCATTTAAAGATTTAAGCATAAGGCCTCAAAATGTAAAACTACTGGAAGAAAACATAGGGGTAAAGCTTCTTAACATTATACTTGGCAATGATTTCTTAGCTATGAGACCAAAAGCACAATAAATAAAAGCAAAAGTAGGCAAATGACACTACATCAAACAAAAAAACCCTGCTGCACAGCAAAGGAAGCTATATACAGACTGAAAAGGGAATCTACTAGATAGGATGAAATATTTGCAAACCATGTATCTGATAAGGGCTTAATATTCCAAATATATAAGAAAAACAGATTAACCTGGAGGAAATTATGCTAAGTGACATGTACAGTTTCAAAATTAATCAAATTTCTGAAGGAAAACACAAAATATGTTTCAGGTTTATTTCCTTTCCCTTCCCTTTTCACTGGGGTATGGGCTCCTCAAATCACCCCCTAAAAAATACCCAAA